AGCCACTTAAGGAAATGTATCAAGAGGATAATCAGAACTCCTAATAAAGTGGTTCAAAGTAGTATCATTAAAAAAATACAAATTATCTAAATGATCTATTGATTACAAATATGTACCAGGTTTTGATAAACTTTGGATGATTTTTAATGACACTTATTCATGAAATTCTTATTTTGTAAATAAAAAAATATAGAAGCACTCTACCTCAGAAACTTGACACAAAATTTTATGAGTGGTGGGTAAGTGGGTGAGCACAGCCAGCTTCTTGTTAGGGCAACAACCAGCGGGGGCACCGCTTTTACGGGGAAAGCAGGTGGGGGTTAGAGGCGGCAGACAAACCTGTCAGGTCCTCCTGCGGTCTTCAGAGCAAGACGCCCATTCTGTTTGCATCTTTTTTTCTTTTTGAGACAGGGTAGTTCAAGCTGACCTTGAGCTCACTTTGGAGCCTGGCTTGGTCTCAAATGTCCAAGACTCAGCCTCTCAAGTGCTGGGGTTACAGACATGCACAACCATGCCTGTCTGGCGTTATGCATTTAATTAAAGGTTAAAAAAATGCTGTGGAGCCTTATATTTGTGAAAGGCAAAATCATATTCAAATTCAAAAAGAGAAAATTAGAAATCACAATGGCATTTCTGAGTGATGACCTACTTTATGAGACATAAACTTCCACTAGCAGGATCGCTAGCAGAAAGAACATACTACGTGAAGCTTTAAGAAGCTCAAATATGGGGGGTGGGGGGCTGCCCATTAGCTCAGTTGTTTAAGTGTCTGTTAACCAAAGCACTCAGGCTCAGGATACTGTGGCTTGCTCCCCAGATCCTCATGGCTTACCATAACTGCCCTTAGGGCATGGTGAGCCAGCAAAAACCAAAACCAAAACCAAAACCAAACAAAAGAACCCTGGGCCAGGGAGATAGCTCAGTGGAATAAGTGCTTCCCTGGCAAGCGCAAGGGCCTGAGTTCAATCCCTGGTTCTGGAAAAAAAAAAAAAAATCAAAAGAAACTCAAATATGATACTTTATACTTTAAATCCAGTGTAAGAAACAGAGATACCGCTTTCCAATTTTAATAGTTTTATGGATAAAGTTTTGGTAGAAAATGTGAGCATTTCATAGCAATAGGTATCACTTACATAAAAAGAACCACACTTATAACTTGTTACCTTGGGGAAAAAATGAAGAGAAATTTAGTTTCATAACAAAAATGATCATTATGTAAAATAAGAGTATTTTTTTGACAAAATTTTGTAACTTCTTGCTTTAACATGCACCACGGCCTGGGCTAACCATGTCAATCCTACACCAAAGAAAACTTCTTTATAAATAGGAACACTCTGACTCAGGGAAACTAATTTTAATTTTGTAAGGTCCCACAGTTAGGAAGGACAGAGCTGTGCTCCCACCCACTATGCTGTCTCAGAGAATAACTGGGGTACATCCATTAAAGTTGCCACTTGACAAAATATACACTCACAATTTATTTCCTAAAACAACATATTCCTAAATTTATTACTTCTTAATTGTGCTTTGTGCTTGTGGAGTCATAATCCTGTATCTTCTTATTATCTATCAGTACAATTTGAAGGCAGACAGGAGGCTTTTCTTCACAAGGGCAATGAAAAACAAATAATAATTTAGCTACAGGCATTCTAGTACTTCTTGTGATTTGCTGGAAATCACAGCCTCGGCTTTTACGACACAGATCAGAAGGCGCTTTGTAAAGCGATGTTTCCTTTCCTGCTGAGAAACAAATGAGCACGCGTTGGTGGGCCTGACCCCAAGCAGTCAGATCAGTAAAGTCGCCACTTAACTCCCTGGGAGAAAAACCTGCCCCAGACAGCAGCGCAACAGTGCTCAGCAGGCACGAGTTGGACCCATTTGTGTTAATCTCTTCAGCTAGTGTCTGTCTTCAAACTGTCATTTGACTGGATAAGGAGATGGTTAAAAAAAAAAAATACCACATAGGATGAATGGCTACCGAACTTAAAACTGATAGATAGCTTTGTTTAAAAAAGTAATTTTTTTTTAAAATTTAAAACTAAGTAAAGCTTGTTTCTCAAATATTTGTAGTGTACTTCTCACGCACCAGGTAATTTTCTGGGCACTTAGAATAAACCAGATAAGCAGACATAGTCGCTGTTTTCACTGAAATCATACACTCACTGGATACTTCTAAGTTCGTACCAGAAGAAATAGCACAACTTCTAGGTGTTTATTAATTTTGAGTTATCGCATTAGAAGTTTAAGAAAGAAAAACCCCACCGTGGATGTGTACACTGAATGCTTTTGGTATTTCATTTTCCCCCTGACGTTACTATTTCATGTGCTTGATAATTAAACATTTAAAGAGCATGTTTATCCAAAAATTGAAAAAAAATGATGGAACAGAATAAAATAAAATAAAAGCAGTTCTGCCACACTCTACAAAAGGTGGAAAGTCTAAATCCAAACACCGAGTACTCCGTGTCCAATCGGGCAGGGCCTGTCCTGCTTTGGCTTCAAGATGACAGGTTCTAGTCACTGAGCTTTTCTTTTTTTGAGTGTAAGAAAAAGCCACACATCACAGGTGACCCATGTTATTGACAGAGCACAAGAGAGATGGGAACATTTTCACTGCAGTTTTGGCAATGCCGGGTCCCAGTTCTAGGACCTGTGATGGCTCTTTCCTCAGGGGTGAGGTGGGAAGAGTCTCTGAATTTCTCTCACACCGTATCACTGGCGTTGGTATCCTCCCTCCCTCTTACCTGACTCTTTCCTGCTTCCTTGCCTGTAATCCATACCTCCCCTCCCTCCCAGGTTTGCTTCAGTATAGCTGCCCCAACACACCACACCCCTTATGCACAAAGCTGAGGCATAAACTCTCTTCCTACGCTGGCAAGTCTTTTAACCTGGCCCACCACACCTGGCCTGAGATCACCCTCCCAGCTCTAATGCTGGCATTTCTTAATAGGTACCTTACAAATGCCATGCTACTGTTAAAAAGCAATCACCTAGCTTCATCTTACTATTATAGACCATTTTCTAAGACATAGTAAGCGAGAAAGCAGAATTCAAGCAGTGTGCATAATGTGCTATTTAATAGCAAAGGGTGTGCACTAGGCATACATGCCTTAGATATGTGGGACGGCTCTGGACAAGCACATGCAGTTATGGAACCAGTGGCCGCCACTGGGGAGGGACCCTGGGCAGCTCAGACACAAGGGTGGAAGTTCCACTTCTACCAACTGTATGTTTTCCTTCTTGTAAGTTCAATTTTCATTAGGTGCTTACATTTATTTAAATAAAAATATTAAAAAATTATAACCTTATGTTCAAGTTCAATGTTCCTCTTTCCAAGCCCCAAATATGCCTCGATCCTACTTACAAGAACTAACTTCCTGTTGCAAGTAAGCCCCCTCACTCAGTTATTTATCTCCACGTAACCGGATGCCATCTTCTTATAACTATTTCTCTAAATTTCACCATATTTGCATAGCAAACTGTCTGATTCACCTGTTCTGTATTGATGTTCATATACATGTTACTTTAATGTAAACTTTCAGAGAGGGCAAGGCTGTCTTAGTCATAATTTCTCAAAAGTTACAAAGTCGGATACGCTAACTCAAATGTTAAAAGAGGGCATGGAGCCCATCTGTTTAGTGGTATGCTCTCAGTGTGTGCTAAATGAATGAAAAAGACTTCCACCCATTGACTGGGTTGTTCTGATTTGTGTTTTTAGGATTAAAGCTTAGTTCACCAAAAGTACTTATTCGATAATTTAAGGCTTAAACAACTTAGACAGTTGCAAATCACTTACTGTTCTTGAAGTTAACTAGCTCCTCAAAGTGTCTCAAGATAAGGAAGGAAATCAGAGGATTGTTTTGAGGATGAGTAATCAAGAGACAGACGATCATGGCAATTTAGCATCTGAAGTCAGATATCTCTTACCCATAATTCGTTGCACGGCTGGTTTCTAAGTGCTGCCCCCACCACTCACCTCCTCTCCACCCCTCCCGGCAGTTGGCACAGCAGCGTCCCCACCGGTCCTATTACCAGGTTTGTTCCACTCTGCTCTGGCTTCACAAAAACTATTTCAAGCACTGTATCATTCTCACCTCTCCTGCTCTGTCTTCCACCTTAAATTACAAATAGTCACCCTAACTTCAAAGTACTTACAGGTCATTTGACCTGGATTTATTTTGTTAACTCTATTTTATATTGTATTCCTATTAAATCTTTATTCTTTACCAAATATGACATTAATTGATCATGGCCATGAAAAAGACATCTGAGGAATTCATATTTTTATCCCAGAAGTATGGATATTAAAAAGCAAAACATAACACAACTATATGCCTTTGCTATGCAGAGAGTTTTTTTGTGTATGTGTTGTTTAATAGCTTTCGCAGTATTTAATCTATATTAATGCTGGAGGCTTTTGCTGACATAAAATGCTTAATATATAAGACATAAGACTCAGATCTGAGCAAGCAGCAGCCTACCAGTGCCCTCCTGACAGAATGTTTTGTAGGCAAGCCCTTCACTCTCTCAATATTACGTAATCATTTGGTGACTTCTTTTAGCTAACACAAGTACAAAGCTTGAATCAGTTTTGTCAATGCTGTTCAAAGGCTGGTAGGATAGCTCTGTAGACTAAGTCCTGCTTAGGCAAGCACAGGGACTGGGGTTCCATCCCTGGCACCACATGATGTGCCGGCCCCGAACCCAGGCGCACTGAATCCAGGCATGGTGGCATGCGCCTGTCATCCCAGTGCTGTGAAGGCTGAAAACAGGAGTCTGAACTGCATAATGAGACTGTTCACCAAATACATAAAATAAAATAAGTACAATAAGATAAAATGCTGTTCAAAGTGGTAGATTGTGATGAAGAAGAAAAATCGTGACTTGATGAAGTATCTTTTCACTTCAGGAAAATATGTCCACAGCTATCTGAATATAAAATAAAATATTACAGGGTGGTTATGTTCAAACAGGAGGTTCTCAAAAACAGTTCTACTTACATCAAGAGAGCCTTCATTTATAACTATCATTCCCATGTTCTTCTTCAAAAGTTTGCAGGAGTGTCCTGTGTACAAACATAGAGGAAATGGATATAATTTCTCCAGAAAGCAACAACGATGTTAAAGCAATAATACTATCCGAATATATAGGGGGGATTTTACTAGGAGGGGTAGTGATCACTTGTTCTCCAGGCCTTAAGGAAGTTAACAATGGGCTAATCTTTTGCTGATGGAAAAGCAACCAAGGGACAGAGGGAGGGGAAGGGAAGGGGATGCACAAAGAATGAAGATGTGGTGCGTTGATGCGCTGGCTCCCGAGGTGAGCAGGATCATTACGTACTGCAAAGGTATAGTAATGAGAAAGTAAAAATTAAAAAAGTGGAGTGAGTGAAATAATGGTGTAAGAACATGTTGTGGTTATAAAAAATGGAAAGGTTCTTAGTTGCCTGAGGAACGATATGATACAAGCACACTCTTGATGCTGTCTTGAAAAATAACAAGAAAGACATTAGGAATCCTCACTGGCCTGAAAGCTGAGTGACATGCAGAATACCCTTCCTGCTGACCAATATGAAGAGCAAAGCCGCGCCAGCATTAGTAGAGATGTGTGCAGCGGGGAGGACGCTACTGCTTGGGTCCTGCCAGCCTCCACCATCCGTGCCCTGGAAGGTAACAATGGCCTCTCCTTGTCTGTCGCTTCCCCTCCTGCTTTGTGCATTCACTGTGTGGCAAAAGTCTCTCCTTTGTTAAACAAAACTCTGGTTTTTCTCCACCAGCTTGCTACAGCTGAATGTGGCTGGGTAAAAATGGGTAAGCCCGTCAATGGAACTAAAGAACATAAGCATCTCTCTTCCCGCCCTCTGTGATCCCATTCTACCTCACAGTTCTGTCATCTAAGTGACTGCCATTTGGGGTCTCCACCTCCTTTTCCCTCTGCTAGATTTAGCCCAGGGCCTCACACTTAATAACCCAATGCTGGTCACTGAATTATGTCCCTAGCCCTAAGTGTTTCCCACTCTGAGACTCACTGCCTGCTCAGGCCTTTCCTCTAAACTCTAGACTTTCATAAGCAACTACTTATCTAACAGCTGATCCCTGTGCAGGAAGCAGGCATCTCATTCTCAGTACATCCCAATACTAGGCTGCTGCGCACCCTCCCAGAAAACTCAACAGAATTCAGCCTTCCTCATTTTGCTTAACAGCAACTCAGTCCTGTTGTAAAGGCCAAAAGCCTTGGAATTACCCATGATTCCTTTTGCCCTCTTATATCCTACATTAACTCCATCAGTCAGTCCTTTGACTCTATCTTTAAAGCATGTTGAATCACCCTGTTAGGAGCCCCTCTCCTCTTTCAGGGCACCCCTCAAATGTCACTTTATCCATGAGTGCTTCTTGACAGTCTTGCTTAAAGCAGAATCCCTCTGTAGTGTTTGATCACCTCGTATTATATGTTTTTATTTTAAACAGCAATCACTGAATTGAATATATGCCCCACTTTTCTAATTTACTTTATTGTGTACTCATCACACAGGGCAGGGACTTCTGTTTCTTTTTTTTCCTTTTTTTTTTTTGAATTTTAGGACAGGGTCTACAAGGTGTTCAGGGTCTCACTACTACATCAGACTCATAATGATCTGCCTGTTTGCAGCCTCCCAAGAGCTGAGATTATAGGCATGTGCCGCCACGCCCAGTCTCAATTGCCTCTCAGAGTGCCCCGGGGGGTGGGGCCCGCACAGCAGGCCTGGGATGGAATCCCCAGGCTCTTTTTCTTTCTGATGTGTTCTTGGCACTTACCTGGAGCCTACTTTGTAGACCCCACAGCCATATACTGAAAGGGAGAATCTTTCCTACCTTTTTCTGGAAACAAGCGTGGCCTAAGATTACACGTCCTACACCATGTGCACCTCTGACGCCTGGCTTCCTAATATGTCACTGCTTCTAGCCATATGTTCTCTATGTCTGGTCTTATTAATTATTCGTGTTTTCAGGTCTTCTAATCCTAATGTTCTGCATTTCACCATAATTCCCCTCTCATACATCTCTGTTCCATTTTGACACAGCACTACTGATAATTTTTATGATAAAAATAAATTGAGTGGCTTATAAATTTAATGTTCTACAGTTTGTTCTAAAATCAAATGAATTTTTAGGTTAGTCACAATCCCATGATTTTACAATGTATATTAATAAATATCATTTTTCCTAAAATAAATTAACTTTCTATTAACATCAATTTACTATATATTTGTAGTTTTGCATTTACTTGTATTCATATGTCCTGTAAATATTCGCTGGATACATCAGGCTGATTGCTAACACTTTTTTAAAGGAATATTAGCTGAATTTGTTCTGGAGAATATTTTAAAAATGACTTTCCAAAAAATGTGGTTTTGTGTTACAAACACTTCTAAAATGTTTTCCTCAATTTTTTTTTTTTTGGGGGGGTTTATACATAATATACAGGCTCAAAATCAAGCAGTTAAAGCTGTGCTCACACGACCTATTATTATTAAATTTAGAAAAACAGATTTGGCCCTTGATCTGTACTACAGGCTTACAGTGTCAATTGTTAGCTTTGTTTTCAGTACGATTTTTGTTACGGACTGAACTGTGCCTTCCCCCAGTCCCCGAAATCCACATGCTGAAGCCTTCACTGGCACTGTGACACAGGCCTTGAAGAAGGCATGGAAGGCCAGACAAGGTCTTAAGAGTGGGCCTGCTATTGTGCATGTTTATGGCTCCCCAAAATTGCATGTTGGGAGCTTAGTACCAGCTTGACACTGTTAGGAAGCAGGGCTCTGGGAGGTGATCAGACGCTGCTATGCTGGGGTTGGTGCCTGTGCAGAAGAGGCCCCAGGCACTGCCTTGTCTTTTCCATCATCGAAGGATGCAAATGAAAATGCCAGCTGTGAACCAAAAAGCAGGCAGATCCTCATCAAACACCAACTTTGCTGGTGCCTTGATGGGACATTTCCCAGCCTCCCACTACCAGCCACCAGGGTTATGTTGTCTTAGTAGCACAGATGGACTAAGGCAATAGGACCAGTACCCTGTGCACGGAGGGAGGGCCACGTGAAGGCCCAGCAAGAGGGCAGCTGTCTAGACACCAGGTCTCACCAGAAACAACTCTTCACTGATCTTGGATTTTCAGTCTCCAGAACTGTGACAAAATACATTCCTGTCGTGTGAGTGACCCAGTCTGTGATATTCTGTGACACAACCTAAATTAATAGAGACTCTTCCTGAAAAGTTGGAAGTGACTCCAATTTTTAGTAGAATGAACCCAAAATGGCAGCCTTCTTCCTTCCTCTGTCAGGGACAACTTTTCATCACATAAATAAAAGTCAATATACATGTGCATCGCAGGCCAGTCTCCACCTTCTTACAGGCACCTATGGAAGTGTTCTACACACACACCATTTCTGGATGGACTGTGTGGAGGCAGGGACATGAGGTGAGAGAGAGCCCATGTGGTCACAGGGGCTACAGCCTGGCTGTGTATAGAACCACTGAAACATTAAGGTGCGCTAAGGCCATTTGTAAATAGACCTATTTGATAATATTACAAATCTAGAATTGTGAAACGCCACACCTTTAAATGCCTCAAGTACATCTATTAAAATATTTCAACCTGTTAAGAAACAAAAAGAGTTAAAACTTGAATTAAGTGAATTACCGATGTTAATGGCAGTTTCTTGTTTGTCTCCTGTCAGGATCCAGATTTTGATGTCTGCTTTCATTAGAGTTTCTATGGTTTCAGGCACTTGATCTTGTAATTTATCCTCAATTGCTGTAGCTCCGAGTAGCTGGAGATTCTGGAGGAAATACACAGTAAGATGTTTAAGAGAAACATTTAGATTTCTTAAGAACAAAAGCGCTGAAGTATGTATTTGTCTTAAAGTCAAAGGCTTAATGATAATTCACGGATTTTGGTATAAAAATTCCTACTGTCTCACAGAAGTTTTTTCACTTAAGAATCCCTTACTTTCATCTCGTATTTTTTTGGCCAAGACTAAAGCTCTTTGAAACTTTCTTACTTTATGATCCCTAAGGTAAGGAACTGATTTTAAAAAGAGCTCATATATAAAAGGGAAAAATTTTCACAGTGCAGAAACAATCTTGTAACTTGTTTAAAAAACAGTAAAGACATATGCTGATACTATTAAGTTATACTTTAATGCTGTGTCAGAGCATGTATAGACATGATGCAATCAGAAACAACGAGGTAGAGAGCTGTAAACGAAGTGACAGCATTATTCTTTGTGGAAAAGAACATATTGAGTCTTTTGCACACTGCTCTACATTTGCACAGTGAAAGGTCAGATTATCACGGATCTCTTGCTCTTTAGATGCTATCTTTCACATAAGACTGAATACAATACACTCAATACAGGCATACCTGAGAAATGTTGTAGATTTCAATCTACAATAAAGCAAACGCTGCAGTAAACCAAGGCAAATGTGTGTTTTGGTCTTATAGTGCATATGTTAGGTTTGTACTATATTGTTTTCTACTAAGTGTACAGAAGTATTATGTCTAAGAAATGATGTAAATAATTTAGGGCTAAAAATGCTCATGGTCCTTTAAGACTTCAGAAAATTACACTTTTGCTGGTGGGGCCTCTTGCTTTGAGGTTGACGACTGCTGACTAAGGGTTACAGAGGCTGAAGGCCAAAGTAGCTGTGTCAGTTCCTTCAAATGAGACAGTGATATATACTACATAGATTGATTTTCCTTTCCATAGAGTGTCATACTATTGTACAGTACTTCATACATAGCAGAACCTTCTTCAAAATTGGAGCTGCTATCTCAAACCCTGCTGGTGTTTGTCCGCTAGCTTATGTAATAGTCGATACGTTCTATATTGTCATTTCAGCCATCTTCAGGGCATCTTCATCATGCGTAGATTCTACGCCAAGAGACTATTTTCTTGCTTGTCCATAAGAAGCAACTCCTTATCCATTAAAGTTTTAACCCAAGATCACAACAATTTAGTCCCATCTTCAGGCTCCACCTCCAGTTCTCTTGCTGTCTCCAGTACCTCTGCAGTTACTTCCTCCACTGGGTCTTGAATCCCTCAAAGCTGTCCAAGAGAGCTGGAATCTGCTTCTTCCAAATGCCTGAGGATGTTGGCACTCTAGTCTCTGCCTAGATGGCACAAGCTTAGCTAGGCCTCCTGGGTAACTTGTCGCGACTTCTCCATCAACATTTACAGCTTCCCCTTGCACTTTTTTATGGTGATGGTTTCATTCCTTAATCCTCATGAAGCAACCTTTCCCAGCTTCAAACTTTCCTTCTGCAGCTTCCTCATCTCTCTTAGTCTCCACAGAACTGGAGAGAGTGGGGCCTTGTACTGGATTAGGATTTGATTCAAGGGCCCATTATAGCTGGTTTGATCTTGTATCTAGACCACTAAAACATTGCCCATGTTAGCAGTAAGATGGTCTCATGCTATCATTTGTGTCTACTGGAGAAGCTCTCTTAACTTCCTTCAAGAACTCTTCTTGTGCAATCACAACTTGGCTAACCAGTGCAAAGACCTCGCTTTTTTGCCCAGCTTATTTTTAGATATGGCTTCTCACTAGGACTAATCCTGTCTAGCTTTTGACTTCCAGTGAGAGACATACAACCTATCTTTCACTTAAAACACTTAGAATTTGTGGGGTTACTAATACTGTTGGATCTCAGTGAAGAGAGGAGGGTTGTGGAGGGGGAATGAGATGGGAAAATGGCTGAGGGGTGCAGTCAGAACACATCCACATTTCTTGATCGTCTCATATGGGCATGGGTCTTGGAGCTCTAACACAATAACGATACTCAAGATTGCTGATTACAGATTGTCCTAACAAATACGAAATGAAATACCTTGAACTAGCATAGGAACCACCAAAATGTTGCACACAGACATGAAATGAAAACATGAGAACGTGGAGGTAAAATGGCGCCAAAGAACTTGCTCTCCACACGCCATCTTGGTTCTGCAGTTGTGTGTGTAGTTTACATCTGTATGTTAGTAGCAGAAAAATCTGTATGTAATTAATAGAAAAATTGACTAATGGCTTAGGTAAAGTTTTAGTTTTCCTGACTAAGCTGAACTGAAGTAGGAAGTTATGACTATCAGATTTATGGCTCAATGATGTCTTCACTCCCCCAGTGTCTCAGAATGGCTGTCATTGGTATAATTACCAATGATGAAAATAAGAATAAGGAGGCAATACCAACTGTATCTGTCTCTTATTTAGAAAAGTGTTTCTAGAAGTCCTCAGCATATTTTCAAGCATGGCTAGCTGGCCAGACTGTGTCACATGGCCACCCCTTAACTATGAGCATTTAGCTTTTCCAGCCTCCACAGTGGAGCTGTCAGGACAGAAGGAGAATGGGAATGAGTGCTAAATTAGACTGGTAGTCTCTGCCACAGTGGACACACAGACAGGCGTGCACATGCAAGGCGTATGCGTGGCTGTTTGCACACATTTATGTGTTCTGATTTCCTCATGCACCGCTCATTGTCCTGCCTAGTAAAAGCTGACTCATCCTGCAAAGCCCAACTCAAAGTTATTGCTTCTTTTTCTCTCTTTCTTCATTTTGCTTTCTGTGCTGAGGATGGAATCCAGGGCCTTGTGCATGTTAGGCAAGTGTCCCACCACTCTGTACGCACCTGCTTCTCTTTTACTTCTTTAAACACATTTTGCCCTTCTATTGAGCTCAGAAAAAACTCGGCTGATCTTTGCACATCTTAACTTATAACACAAGTCTGAATAGAAAAGTGTTTCAAAATCTAAAACTTCTGAGCACTGACATGCTGCCATAGTGGAAATTCCACATCTAACCTCCACATGGCAGGTGGCAGTCAAAACATAGGTGCAACAAAATCAGGAGTATTTATTATGTAAAATTACCTACAGGCTGTAGGAACAAGGTGTATATGAAAAACATGAACTGTGTGTTTAGATTTGGGTTCTATTCCCAAGATAGCTCATTTTGTGCATAAAATATGCCAAAATCTAAAAAGAATCCAACATCTGAAACACTTCTTGTCTCAAGCATTTCAGAGAAGGACTCTTCAACCTGACTCAAGATGAACTGTTTCCAATATGTGACTCAAGTAGGCTTGCTCAAAAATAGGGGCAAAGCTTCTTCATTATCTCCACAGCACTGAGAGTCAGTGTGCAGCTATACTGACTGAGCGAGCTAGTGACAACTGACCAAAACCAAACTCTAAGAGTGACAAAATGGTGCTGCAATCTAGGCCATTTTCTTTCAGTACAATTCAAATAATATGGACAGCTATTAGATACGCTTGATGTATGACTTCTTGTTATATAATATATAAAACTGCAAGGTGTATTTCCTCCTTCAAGAAGACACTGTTATTTTATTACATTCAATGGGAAACATTTGAAATCTATCATAATCTGATGAATAATTACCATCAAGCATCTCAAGGAAAGAGAAAAAGGAAAACCAGCCCGTGTCAGCTCTCCCAGCATCACAACCACTGTATTTCAACATTTGGACAATGATCCTTGAAGTTCTTGCAGCTAGCTACTTTTAGGAATTTGCAGTTGCATCATCCTGGCCCACATCCCAGAGAAGATCAGGATGCGGCTGGGTTCACATTTTAAGTTCTTTATGGAAGGCATGATAAGGTTTCATAATGATCGTGGGGCTACTTCAGACACCAAAGCCTACGCGGGGCCTTAAAAGAAGAATGTTTTCTTGTATATTCCACAAAGTGACGGGGTAACCAAATTCTAGGAAAGGCAAGAAATATTTAGAAATACATAAACACACGTATCTGTATATTTTCTTTTCTTCTTGTTTATGTATTTGACATAGGGTCTCACTACGCAGCTAGGACTTGTCGTGATCCTCCTGTTCTCAGCCTCCCCAGTGCTGGGATTACAGGCGTGCGCCACCACACCTGGTTTCAGTGGGGCCGGCTCAGTGCACCCAGGAGTGGGGCCAGTGTGGCATGTGAATATCTGTATATTTTCTAGTTGTATTCTAAGGGAGAAATGAACTCAAATAGTATATAGACGTACTTTATCAAACACAAACCTATAAAAATAAAATGACTTCACTAGAGAGAGCATGTTGAAATTATAGTTTAAAGAAGGAAAGCACCTGGTTTTGCACAGGTAAAACCAAGAAAAATATAAATATAAAGGACCAAAGACATAGGTACAGGGAAAAGTAATGGGCAGGTTAACACAGGATGTGTTGGAGCTACGATGCAGGAATTTCTAAAAGGTTCTGAATATTCAGCACAGGCGCAATGAGCCTCCTTAGGGCACCGAAACGAAGTGCCGCCCTTCAGCCTTCTGCTCACCTTCCCTTTACCCTAAGCGCTGTGCGAGAGCAGCACTGGCTTAGGGGAAGGTTCTGCAGGCTCCTTCCCTTTTGCCCTGGTGTCGTTATTGTGAGATTAGGATCTTGAGTGATACGGTGCTCTGCCTTTGGAAATTAATATCTTCGGTTGCACAGAGATCATTAGAAAAAAAGATGTGAACCCTGCGTGCTTCTCCTGATCAGAACATCCAGAGTGCCTGGGATATAATCAATCTCATCCAAATATGTATTACCTTACACAAATGGCCACTAATAGGCACTGTGGGAGTCACAGGCTTAGAAAGTGCTGAAACGTGATAAAATTCCCATGGCACTTATGGAAATAAAAGAGAAAACCCTCAAAACACTAATTTTACTTTCAAAATGTCACTAAGCCAAAAGTTACAAAGGTTTCAGGTTAATGACTCTGACATAAGACAGATTTTTTTTTATCACTGAAAAATCATGAAATAATATTTATTC